AAAAAAAAAAAAAGAAAAAAAAATTTTCTGCATGAATTTACTTTGGTAGTAGAGCATTGTGCTTGTCATTGTGGAGGATGAGTCTGAGAACATCTTGAAGAGCTAGTTTAGTTATAACAAATTTCTTCAACATGTGAATGTCATTAAAGTATTTAATTTCTCCATCATAAATGAAACTCGGTTTTGCTGGATATAGGATCCTGGGTTGAAAGTTTTAAGAGAAGTTCATCAAAGAGTACCAAGTTTAAGTGAGAGAAGGAGAAATAATTTTTAGCGATCTATTTCTCAGTGTGGTGACTACAAGAATAGTAACATATTCTATATTTCAATATTGCTATAAAAAGACTTGAAATATTTTCACACAAAAAATAAGTGATGTTTGGTGATAGATAAGTTAATTAGTTTGATTTAATTATTCTACAATGTATACTTTCATGAAAACATTGTGTTTTATTCCATGATATATACAATTACTATTTGTCAATTAAAAATACAAAATAAAACATTTTAAAAACTTTCAAACTATGAATAGGATAAAACATCTTTAGTTTGATAAGGAATATTTGCCACAGACCTAAGTATCATGGTCAAGCACTAGATGCTTTCCCAATAAAATTAGGAAAAAAAGAAGCATACTCACTGACATCTGTACTTTTCAGAATTATACAAAATTTATTATTCATAATAAGACAAAAAGAAAATGAGATTTTATAAAGAATTATAAAGAAAGAGACAAAAATATTATTAGTAGTAAATGGTATGATTATCTCACAAAAATATTCCCAGGGCAACAATTGAAAAACTTCTTGTCTATCTTATTTAAATGCCCAGATCCATTTTTTTCAGTATTCCTTGCTTATGTAAGTCCCTCATTATATGTAAGATGACATCTTACACATCACTCTAAGAGTAAGAAGTGGGACAAAGGAGAGCCAGCATAGTTATTTAGGTCAGTAAATAATAATCTGCTCTGCTCTAGAAACCTTTTATGGCCATTCAGAATAAGATTAATAAATGTAGATATGAAAACTTAAAGATGAACAGCTTTTCTATAATTAAAAAATAATTAGAAATGCAATAAAACTCTTCTAGGTAAATTACTTTTTAAAGTTCATACACTTAGGTTTTACATTCACTCTAGCAAGGATAGATTAAAATATATAAAGGATAACATTAAAAAGACTAAACCAACTAAACAATTCCAGGAATTAAAAGGGGAACAGAAATGCATAGTTAGGTGGGCAGAAACTGGAGGCCTATTGAGCGCTAGATCTTTTGAAAGTAAGCAGAGGTAGATATGAGTTCAGATCCTGGCCTGTTTCCAGATACATAAGAATCTCAATGTACACAAAAACTATCTGAATATTGTTCACGATTATTCTCTGAAACATATATTTACACTGTTAATAAGATTACCTTCTGTTTAGTCATGAGCCATTATGCTCTATCAAAACCCAATGCATAAAGAACTTTATAGTTTTCTCTGGAAACCTTCAGCTTAGATTAGTAGATAATCAAGTTTTAAAAATGTATATATGTATATTTTATGATTTCAGAATTTGAAAAATGTACTTACTTTTTTATCACATCAAACATGCTTTTTTCTATATTTAGCAGCCACTGTTCTATAGCACTTCTTAAACGAATTTTCCTAAAATTTGTTTCAAAAATAATATCATGAAGAATTATTTTAAGTCATATTTCACCTCTTTAATACACCTACAGACTAAGTATTTTTCTACTTCTAAAAGCATTTCTACTTTTATAATATTCATGGGTCATTATAATATTTTATACATAATGCTGTCTTTAGGATTTTCTAGATGTTAATTTAGAAAGCCATGCAGAAAACATTCCCTTGCTTTAAGAAATTCTGACATCAAAACCATAAAGAATGTAAAAAAACAAACAAACAAACAAACAAAAAACCCCCAAGAAAACCCCTCCAGGTAAAATAGAAATATACAATATAAATAAATTGTTACTAAAAAATGTTTCGATTCTTTAGATCTTTTAAACAGCAGGGTCAGGTTAGGGGTTTTCATATGCATGTGTTGAAACAAACTTGTAACCCTGGGATAAAACCAACTTGATCATGAATCAATATTGATTAATGACATTGGCTTATAGTTTTCTTTCTTTGTTGGGTCCTTTCCTGGTTTGGGGATTAAGATGACATTTGCTTCATAGGATGTGCTGGAAAATATTCTTTCTTTTTCTACGTTTTAGAAAAGGGTATGTAATATAGGTGCTAGATCCTCTTCAGTGGTTCGATAGAATTCTGATGTGAAGATATGTTGGACATTTGTTCCCAACTTTTGTTTTTTGGGAAATTTCTTATAGTTGATGCTATTTTAGTGCTTGATATAGGTCTATTCAAAATTTGTAATTCTTTTTGGTTGAGTCTAGAAAGATGGCAGGCTTCCAGCTATTGGTCCATTTCCTCCAGATTATCGTATTGCTGAGAATAGAGTTTATTGTAGTAGTGATTGAGGACTTTTTAAATTTCTGAGATATCTGTTGTTATTTCTCCTTTATCATTTCTGATTGACATTATTAGAGACTTTTACTTTTTTGATTCTGGTTAGGCTGGCCAAAGATTTATCAATTTTGTTAATCTTTTCAAAAAATCAATGTTTTGTTTCATTGATCTTCTGAATGACCCTTTTGTTTTCAATTTCATTTAATTCTGCTCTAATTTTCATTATCTATTTTCTTCTGCTGAGTTTGGGGTTGTATTGTTCTTTCTTTTCCAGTTGCTTGAGATGACCCATTAAGTTGTTGACTTCTTCCCTTTTGTTTTCTTGATGAAGGCTTCCAACACTATAAATTTCCCTCTTAAGACTGCCTTTGCAGTATCCCACAGGTTTTGATAATTTGTGTCTTCATTATCATTTTGTTTCCCAAATTTGATGATTTCATTTTTAGTCTCTTCTTTGACTCAGCTATCATTCAGCATAAGATTATTTAGTTCCATGACTTGCTTGAGTATGAAGATTCCTGTTGTTGAGTTCCAGTTTTATTCCTTGATGGTTTGAGAAGATACAAGGAATAATTTCTATTCTTTTAAATTTGTTGAGATTAGATTTGTGTCCTAAAATTTGATCAATTTTGGAAGATGATCTGTGGGATGATGAGAAGAATGTTTATTCAAGTTTATTAGGATGAAATGTTCTGTAGATGTCTGTTAAGTTCATTTGTCCTATGGTCAAATTTAAGTTTATTATTTCTTAGTTTAGTTTCTTCTTAGAGGATCTATCTAGAACTGGCAAAGGGGTGTTAAAATCTCCAATTATTATTGTGCAGGACGATATCACATTGTTCATATCTATTAGGGTTTTCTTTATAAATTGAGGAGCATTTAGGTAGGGTATATAAATGTTAATTATTGAAATCTCTTCATGTTGGAGTGTTTCCCTTAGCAAATATGTAGTGTCCATCCTTGTCTTTCCTTATCTTTGTTGGTTTAAATCTTACTGTATCTACAAATAAAATTACAACCCCTGGTTTTTGCTGATTTCCATTTTCTGTATTATAGATGTCCATCCTTTCATCCTGCATCCTTTTTTATATTTTGAGGTAAGATGAGTCTCTTGTAGGCAACATAAATCTGACCTGAGTTTTTGTATCCAGTCAGCCACCCTGTCCTCATTTAGGGAACAATTTGAGCCATTCACATTAATTGAGAGAATTGATAGGCATGGTAGTGTTTTGGGTGCCATGTTTTTCAAATGTCCACTGGATATTTTTAATCCTTTCACTATTGTGGAAGTTAAGTTTTTTCAAAAGTTTCTGGGTAAGTAGACCATTGTGCTGATCATTATGGAAGATGGGTCTGAGTATTTTCTAGAGAGCTGGTTTAGTTATGGCAAATTTCCTTAACATGTGTATGTTAGTAAAGTATTTTAATTCTCCATCTCAAAAGAAACTCAGTTTAGCTGGATACAGGATCCTGGGCTTAATGTTTTGTTTTAGGAGATTGAAGGTCGATGACCATCCTCTTCTGCCTTAAAAGGTTTCAGCTAAGAGATCTGCAGTCATTCTAATATTTCTTCCTTTGTAGGTAATTCTTTTCTTACATTTGGTTTCTTGTAGAATTTTCTTCTTCATACTAACTTTGGCAAAGTTAATTATAATGTGTCTAGGAGATGTTTTATTCAAATTGAGTCTCGGTGGGGTTCTGAAACTGTCTACTGTCTGAATTCCTGTATCTCTTGCAATGCTTGGGAAATTCTCCTCAGTAATATCTTAGAATAGAGCATCTGTACCTTTAGGATCATCCTCTTTTCCTTCAGGAATCCCTATGAGACAAATGTATGATCTTTTTGTATGATCCTACAACTCTCTTAGGGAATGATCAATTTTTCTTTCCTTTTCTCTGCCTCTTTGATCACTTGGTAACATTCAAAAACCTTATCTTCTATTTCAAAAATCCTTTCTTCTACATGCTCAACACTAATACTGAGGGATTCTACTGTATTTCAAACTCCTCAAATAAGGTTTTCATTTCCTCGAGCTCTGATATCTCTTTTCTCATTGTGTCCATTTCCTTATTGATTTTGTGTTTGAATTCATTAATTTCCTTAGACAACTTTTGAACTCTTTGGATTTCTTTTTCCAACTTTTCCTCCATTCTATTCATTTTATTGGCCATCCATATTCTCAATTCTATATCTGACATTTCAGCCATTTGTTTATGAATGGCATCTTGTGACATATCTCCTTTGTCATTCCTTGGGGGAATTGATCTACTCTGAATATTCATGTTACCAGAGTTCTTCCGCCAGTTCTATCCCATGATTATTTTCTGCAGTTTGGCTAGTGAAACTGGTAGTGTAAGTTTGGATTGAAGGCCCCAGGAATTGTAGTTAACCAGCTCTCTACCAAAGAACTTGGGCTGGTGGTTGTGACTTTCCTGAACAGCTTTACAAATGTTCCTTTCAGATCTGCAGCCTGAGACTCTGAGGACCTGATTGGTGTGATAAGGCTAGCTGGTTCTCTCCTGTAGTTAGCCAGCCTCTAGCCAATCATAAGGAATCAAGGATTTAGGCTGAAATATCAGCTGGGGAGTGATATAAGCAACTGAGACACCCCACTCCCCAGTAACAACAACTGGGGAAGGAGAATCAGTCCCTCTCACTACAACACAACCATGACTGAACCTTAGAGCATCTCCAGGTGGACAGTCCAGGTCATGAGTTCCAATCCAACTGTCCTAGGTAGCACAATCACTGCTCAACTGTGAGAGTTCAAAAAGTCTCCAGCAATCCGACAGCAGGGATCCCCAGGCTTCTCTGACCCCCAAACCCAAGATGCTGGAGTCTGCCTTGATCTGGTCCTCAATGGAGTCAGAAAGGGCCTCCCAGCAAAAGAATCAGTCCAGGAGGTGTCAGTGCCTCCTTCTCCACCTTGCACTGTAGCCATGCACTGCCACTGGTAACACCATGGAACTTTGGCCTGGTTCCCTCCAGTGAGCAAAAGCACCACGGATATGCACATATTAGAGTCAAAAGGGAGTCAGTGCCTCCTCCCCCACTGCACACTGCCACTGGCAACCCCAACGTGCTGAAGGCTGGCTCCCTCCAATGCCCAACAGAATCTGGGAAGTGCTCAACCAGAGTGTGTCCCAGGACAGACTGGTGGGCACTGTCACAGCATGTTTTTCTTCCCCACACAGTCTTTGCCACTGCCCCAGCCATGCTCCACCACCAGTAACCATAAGGAGCTGTAGCTTGCCTCCCTCCAGTGGTCAACACAATTGGGGAAGTGCTCCACCAAAGTCTCACCCAGGGAGCCCCACTGCCTGCCTGTCATAGCACTTCTCTCTCTCCTGCTTGTTTCTCTCTGACCACACCCCCCAACTTCCACTTGAGTCACTATTTCTGCATTGCTGTCCTGCCACCCACACAATACCCAGCCCTTTCACAGAATTGCCAAACACTCTGGACTCTGCAGGGGGCAGGCCTACAAAGTGGGGAAGGGTGGACTGGGAGTTCAGAATTGCAGGCAAAATCAATTTTATGCCAGGCAGGAGAATGCCTAGTCTCACAGGTGGGACCTCTCTGGAGAAGGAGGCCTGGTGTTTAGTCACTCTCTCCTGTGGGATAAAATAGATCTTTTGTCCACTGCTCACTTGTAGAGAGCATACAGTAAGCCACCCTCTTGAGGGAGAGGTCTTGAGTACTCTTGGCAATGAGTTTTGTACCTGGAATTTGTTTCCTTGGAGTCATAGCTTGCCTGAGCAAGGATGACGTGCACTCATCAATCGTCTTTCTTAGCTCAGCTCTCAACCTTCAGCTTCTTTGAGTTCATTTTGTCTATTATCTCTCCCTCCAGATGGGAGCCTCTGTTGAAAACTGGCTCCAGTTGGCCATCTTCCATTTCATTTTTAAAATTAATGTACATCAGAAGCCACATGCCAGAAGTTGGATAATCCTTTCTGGGGCTGGCCAGTAGCACCCGTGTAATGGAAGGACCTCATTAATTATTATTGCCTAGGAGCTGACCATGGTGAAACCAGAGATAAGTGGAAGCAACAGTGGGAGTAGCATCAACAGCCTCAAACAATTAGCAAGTTTCCTTCCTATCTATGCTCATATAATAAAACCAAAAAGGGGGCAAGACTAAAAACTTAGGCAACTTAAGGCAGAGCTTAATGACAGAGCAAAAGGCAAGTACAAATTAGATTGCCTCCAGGAGTTTGAAGATTATTTTCTTTACTATTAATTAAAACAAAGATGAGAAGATTGCATATCATAGGGTGTACAGAAAGGCAAAAGTGTATTTGCTTAAGGATATTATCTTTGAAGAAATAGTTTGCTTAGCAAACTTTTATGAAATATTAGAAATTTCAAAGAAGTTTTAAATAATGAATACACATGGAGTATAAACATTTAGGTTATAATATTCATCATACTTTGGCAGCAGAAGGCCTTCTCCTTCAGCAGATATGAGCATTTTTACAGCAGGAGGGCCAATTTCATGTTTCCATATCAATAAGTGTTTTACATTTTCAAAACATTTCACAAGATGAGGCTGTGAACCAGAAACAAATGTCAGTAACGTTTTAAAACTCTGACCCTTTTAAAGACCCATTTAAAACCCCCACAAAATAATACTGCTGAACAGAGAATAATATTATTACCTGTACAGATGCAGGATTTCTGCTATTTGCTAGAATATCAAGAAGTTCAGCATTGCTAAGAAAGTAAAATCTTGGGAAAATAACTCTTTTAATTTCAAGATAGTCCTGTCCAGAACCAAAAGAAATTCAATTTAAAATGTTTAGTCATGATATGAATTACATTCTCATTTGGGACTACATTTACTAAGAAAGGTCCCAATATTAAAGTTATAGCATGCATAGTAGAATCAGTCAAAATAACGTTCCATGCTTAATGAAAGCTATACTTAAAAAGCAAAAATTTTAATAAAGCAGATCTAAAATGAAAACCAAAATAAATGAACACCCTCAACCCTGATATGAACACACACACACACTCCATTTTTGTATGGATTATTCATAAAGCCCAGTATTTTGGTATTATCAGCATTGCTTTCTAATGCTTTCAACTTTCTGCTCTTATTTACCTATAGGTGGAGTTAACAACTTGGAGAATAAGTTATCATTTCACAGATGACGTCACATTCAACTGTACAGAGAATTTCTACACTTTCCATCCCTCTCCACAACTTAGAGGCATTAACACCAGTCTTAAGTGACTCCTTCTTTTCAGAGGAAGAAATGATTCTCCACTTATTCCAGGCTAAGACAACCTTAGCTTTATTTATTACTCTCCCATATCATCACCGCTCTCTTGCAATAGGTCTTTCTTTAAATTTCTCTCATTAAAAACCATAGGAAGTTCTCCTTTTCCCTTTGTTCTCTTCTCGCTGCTGCCTACTTGCCCATCTTCTCTACACACAAGTTCCTGAAAAGATAGTCTATCAATTCAAAATCTTTATTTACTCATCTGTCAGTTATCTCACACTCTGCCATCTGGCCCCCACTTTTACCAAAATTACTGGGAGCTTTTTACTCTTCATGTTGTATGATATTTTCACATCTTTTAACTCTGTTGACTCTTTTGTTTTGAATTCTGGAATTTCATGCTCTTCCATCCCTCAGCCACTTCTTATATTTTTCCCTCAAGAGTCCCTTTTGTTCCCTACACCTTAATGTTGACATCTCTTGAGTTCTATTTTCATCATTCTTCCTACTCATCATTCTTCTCAAACTATTTGATACCTACATGCTTGCTCTTCAGTTCAGACCACTTCTTTCTGCCCCAGATTTATATGACCAATTACTAATTGAAGACCTTAACTTTAATGTCCCATAAATATTAGATTTTCAACACAACATGAACCATACTTGTTTCCACACAAGCCAGCTTGTCCTCTACCTCCTATCTCTCTGTGTGAGTAGCTTCCACTTTTTTTGCTACACTGTCAAAATCCAGAACCTATTTCTTCTAACCTCTACTTACTTATCTGATGCTCCTGGCTCCACCTGAAGTTTTGTTGTCAATGCTTTATGTTAGCCCCCACATTTCTAGTCTGGTTTTTAAATATCTGTTCGGTCTCCAATCCACATTCTTTGCTTCTTTCCAGAAAGATATTTCTCAGTTAAATTATTTCATTCTTCTGCTTAAAATCCTTCAGTGGCTACTCATAAAAGTTAAAACCCATTGTGATATTCAAGACTTTTTACTCGCTGTCCCCGTCTCCTTGGAGAATCTCATCTCTGACCACTTTCCCATTTGCAGCCTATGTTTCATCTGTACCATCCTGCTCACAAATCCAGACTATGCTATACTTGCTAATGGCTCCATGACTTTGTTCTTTTTACCTTTGCCCAAAATGCTTTTCCCACTCACCTACTCATCTCTAGTCAGACTCTTTTACCTAAAGAACACCTGCATTTCTTTTAAGCCCAGGTCAGGTTATCATTTTCCCCAGGCTGAATTAATTTCTTCCCTTTTATATAGTCATAAAATCCAACCTATCATAGCATATATCACATTTTAACATACTATCACCTTACTTTTTTTGTTTCCTAAAATCAATTTTGAGTTATGTAATAGTAGGGAACATGTGTTTTATCTTTGTAGTTCCAACACATAAGCACTAGTGCCTGGTACCAAGTATGTGCTCAATATGTTAATAAATGGAAGATTACTAGTCTGTAATGATCATAGTAATAGTCAAAAAATGTGTTAGAAATCATTGGAAGGCTTGCCAAAGTCAATTATTGACCACAACTATTATGAGTGTGACCCCTTATTTCTGCCCTAGAGCACAGATTTGAATAGAGGAGAGTCTGCCTAGGCAGAATACTTCTTATAGGCTGTTATTGCTGATAAGCATTTTGGAGGAATTACCACAACCACTGTGACTTGTGTTCATCAAGGAAAATTGATGAATGTCTGAGTAAAATTCTTGAATATGAATTAAAGTGATTATGTGCACCATGAATCACAATTATTAAATCCAGTATCAAAGGATATATATGTCTGACAATTTAATGTTTTAAGAGTGTAAAAATTTATGGAATCAATAATTTAATTTACAATTTTTAATATTATAAAAATATTCTAGTTCAACTTTTGATTAATTTGCCAATTTAATAATAATGTTGCTAATATCTTTAACCTTCATTAAGGACTTTCTTTGTGCCAGCTCTTATGCTTTAAATGCATCATCTCATTTAACACAAAGACCTTCAAGGCAAGATTATTTTCTTTTCTTTTCCTTTTTTTTTTTTTTTTTTTGCAGTTTTTGGCCAGGGCTGGGCTCAAATCATGTCCGGTATATGGAGCTGGCACCCTACTCCTTTGAGCCACAGGCACTGCCCAAGGCAAGGTTATTTTCAATTTAAAGATAAGGAAACCTGGGCACTCAAAAGTTTGGTACTTTGTGAAAAGTCATTTAGATTAGTCTAACCATTTTTTTAATAACATTTTACTTAACATTGTAGATAGGGAGAGTTTGAAAAACTATTGGCAGCTGGAATCAAGAAAAATAATCTGCATTAGAATTAGTTTCTGTAGTAGATTGCATAATGGTACTTTCACTCTACTTTTGTAAAGTTAAATGGTTCTCCACTATAGAATTGCTATAGTTTTACCTCAAGGCTTTTCTTTATACTTTCAAGATGTATATTGCAATTTTGCAAAATTTCTAGTATTCCTGCAGAGTTGGTTATTTGTAAAGCATTCTGTTTGCTTTGGACTTTTGCCATTATTTCTTTCCATGTGGCAATCACCTGAACAAAAAGCTTTTTTTCTGCTGGGAGCTGCCTTTAGAAATAAAATTAGATAAAATTTTATTTTTGAAGGCACTATAATTAAAATCTATAATCTAAATACATTTCCTTCAAAATAGTTTAACTTATAAGATGATAGATATATTTTTCATGATGAATCATTAATTAAAGATACTTCTTGAGAGCCTAGTAATGTATAAGTGATTTATATAGCAAGAAATACTAGGAGAAATTAGACATACAACCATCATTTAACTCATACTTTAGAATTATACTTAGCATATAGTGGAAGATACAGACATATATACATGTTGTACACGAAGTAAGAAGTGATTTATGTACTAAGAAATGTAATTTTAAAAGGGCTACTGAAATTTTAGAGAAAACTTGGATCTGGAGAATGCTTCCCAAAGAAAATAGTTAATTTAGATTTTAAACGAGGAATAGGGAATTAAAACTCAATGGAAATCAGGCAGGAGGATGTGCGGAGGAGAGGATGGAAGGAATCACATGTACAATGTATACTATCATTATCCATTGACATTATACATTATATGTATATTAACATGTACAATGTATACTATCATTATACATTATATGTATACTAACATGTACAATGTATACTATCTGCTTTAAGCACACTTATAACTTACATCAGACTCAAGCAGTACAAAAACAATCCACATAATCAAAGTATTTGTACCCTTACAGTATTCTGAAATAAAAATTAAAAAAAGAATAAAGGCTGAGTAGGGTTTTGACATATAAGGAAAAGACTGAGGTAGCATTCAGCCTAGGAACAAAAAGATAGAGATATGTATAAAAAAATTAAAATTATTATCTAATCTTACAGGTTAAAGAAAGGTAAGGCTGGTGTTGGCCTTGGTGTTGAAAATTATTTTCTCCCATTGGAAAAGGGAAAACCCACATGTGACATTGTAATCCAATTATAGTATTAATTTTAGTTTTGTGTCTGCTGCTATGAAAGTTGAATCAGGGAAGTATTTTCAAAAGTTGCTTGGTCTAGTGCTTTCAGTTTTTCTGTTTTTCCCAGCCCACACCATTCCATTCTAATTTCAACTTGATTGAAGCTCTTGTATGTATGTAGGAGAACACTGATTAGCTTAGAAATTGAAGTGGGGAGGAAATTAGAGGGAAAGCTTTCTTCCCTGCTTTATTCAGCTAGTGTTACTTTGAAACTTCTGTTCCTCTTGAACGTTCTCTGTGATGTCAGATATCTGTAGGATATGTTGCAAGGGTTTTTAGAGTCCCCCCAACAGGAACATCTATATTACACCATTTGTTGGCTCTCTCCAGCTGAGCTCTTAACAGCCATTCTTCAGTGGTACACTTCTGGGATTCCCCTGTTATGGCCACAGCCATTTTTGGTGGAAATCTTTCAAGATGGCTCTAGTTTAGAACCTTCTAGTGTGTCTCCATGATCTAAGTTAGCATTTCTTGACATCAGCACTGTTGACACATTAGACAAGATAATCTTTTTTGTGTGCATGTGTGCGACTGAACACTTTGCTATGCACTGTAGGATGTTTAGTAGTATTCTGGTCTATATCCACTGAATGCCAGTAGCACCTCCACAGTTGTGACAATTAAAAATGTTTCCAGACTTTGAGCAATGCCCCCTAGAGGGCAAAATCACCTTTGTGATTCATGTATTCTCGTACTTCTTCCTTGCTGTGCTAGTAAAGGCTACTTCAAAATCCTTCAGAGGAGACACAAGCCCTAGTTTCTAACTGTCCTGCTCTGCAGGGCAATATATGTCAAACTCACCCAAGAATCCACTCACCATTGTCCTATTTCCCACCTTGGGTGATTGGCCTAAAAGTTCTGCAGCTAGTAAAAATAATATCAAGATGGAGACTTAAATCACCCTTCTATTAGGTGCCCTGTCCATCTCACTGGGAGGCTGATTCTAGCACAGTCTCTGCAATTAGTTTGGAGTGGGGGTAAATGGCAAGCATTCATCACTGCCATTAATTCCCTTTAAAGAATTTTATCCTTTAATGAATCTCTTGTCCCTTTCTTCTTTCTGTCCTTGCCCCAGTATGAGAACTTAGTGTCCTTCTCCATTAGTCAAATACAGATCCATTACAAACTCATTTTTCTTTCATTTGGACTTATTGTATAGAAGCCTTCAGCATCCCTTAATTAAAAGCCTTCTTTTCAACCTCAGTAAATCCCATAAAAGAACAATTTAGTTACATTTTGAACTTCCTTGCTTAAGAGTTTACTCTCTCCATTAATTAAGAAATATCTAGTAAAATGTAGTATTAAAGTTTGAACTTAAGTCTCAAAATTATTGCATACATAATGGGTATACTCCTTAGCTGTATGGTTTCAACTTTGAGGACTTTGGAAACAATTACATATTAACAGAATAGAAGGGAAGGGGTTTCAAGATGGCTGACTAGAAGCATCCAGTATTCACCTCCACAAAGAACCAAAATAGAAAGTGGATAATCACATTTCAAAAGGATCATCCAAGAGAGAATACTGGAATTCAACAGAGAAGTAACAAGAAACACCTAAAGCAAGAAAAGAGAGGGAATCAAGGCTGGGATCATCTGGGAACCTTGAAAGTCTCCCTAACATGGGGAAGGGGTAAGTGAGTGACCCCGAGAAGTATACATTCCCACTCCAGATTTATGTGTTAGCCAGGTTTGAGCCCCTTACCCTGTGGAGCCCTAGACTAACAGGGAGCCGCCTGGAGACCACATGAAGGCATTCATAAAGGGACTTTATGGTGTGTCCCACTTTCTCCAGCCCAAAGCAACTACAGTAAAGTGTTATATTGAGAGCCCAGTCCCCATCAGACTGCATCCTGCCCAGGGGAACAGTAGCCTGTGCATATCTATATCCCTGAAACTCCACTGAAATTCCCCTTCCTGAAGCCACTACAGTAGTGGCTGCTGCTGTCAGGGCTAAAGCACAAGCCTTTGGCAATACCTTATTACCCACAGCTGTGAAACAGATGCATTTTCATGCACCTAAAGACAACTCTGTTGCCCCAGCCACTGCCAGAGAGACTACTGCTATCATACTGTACCATAAAGCCAAAGCACAAGTAAAGTGAATGTTCCTCAAGTGTTTACATACAGCTGCTTCAGCTGATAGCAACTTGAGGTCCCTAGTAAAAGGGCTGCAGTGCAGCCACTGCTGCCCTCATCCAAGCATTGTGCCTAGAGATCGTCCCCTGTCTACCAGAGCCAGAACCTCCATACATTACTGGGGCCCTAAGGATACGTATGTCCAGCCTGACATCCTCCCAGGACCCCTGCCACCAGGGCCAAATGCTGTCTTGCGGCTTGGTGACTGCCAAGTCAAATTGATTACCATTGGCACCTTGAGCCTACCTCCCAGGGGCCTGAGATTTGGTTTACCTAACCTGCTGCTATACCATCCAAGTAGTTGTCTTGGTTAATAATCATGAAAACAAATAGAACAAATGGAAAGACATCCATGCTCATAGATCAGAACAATTAATATTGTTAAAATAATCATACAACCCAAAGCAATCTATAGATTCAATATAATCCCTATGAAAATACCAATGTTCATCATGTTTTATAGAAATAGAACAAACAACCTTAAAATTCATGTGTATTCAAAAAATAGCCCCAATAGCCAAAGCAATCTTAGCAAAAGAACAAAGCTGGAGGCATCACACTACCTGACTTGAAAACGTATTACAAGTTAGAGTAACCAAACAGTGTGGTATTGGTATAAAAACATAGACATATGAAACAGAATAGAGGGTAGGTATAAATTCACTTATTTACAGACAACTGATTTTCAACAAAGGTGCCAAGAATATACACCAGGGAAAGGACACTCTTTTAAACAAATGGTTCTGGTAACATTGGCTGTCCATATGCACAAGAAACTAGACCCTTATCTCTCACCATATACAAAAATCAATTAAAGATGGATTAAGGATTTAAACATAAGAGGGCAAGCTATAAAACTACTAGAAGAAAGAATTGGGGAAACACTTCCAGATATTGGTCTAGGCAAAGAATTCATGACTAAGATCTCAAAAGCACAGGCAACAAAATCAAAACTAGACAAATGGGATTATATTAAATTAAAAAGCCTTAGAATAGGAAAGGAAACAACTGACAGCATGAAGAGAAAACCTACTGGATGAGAGAAAATATTTTCAAACTATCCATCTGACAAGTGACTAATATCCAGAATACACAAGAAGTCGAATAACTCAATAGCAAAACAACAACAACAAAAAGCCCAACAAAAATCCCCCCCAACTATTACCAGCAACAATAAAATCCCAAAACAACAAAACCCGAAACAAATAATCACATTAAAATGTGGGCAAAGGACATGGTAGACATTTCTAAAATTAGATAAATAAATGACCAAAAAGCATATGAAAAAATGCTCAACATCACTTCTCAGGAAAATGTACATGAAATCTCCCAGGAATTATAATCAGAATGACTATTTTCAAAGAGTCGAAAAAGAATAGATGTGGTAAGGATGCAGAGAAAAGGAAATACTTTGGGGTGAATGTAAATTAGTAAAAACCTCCATGGAAAACAGTATGGAGATTTCTTTAAAAACACAAAGAGAGGTGTGGTGGCTCACACCTGTAATCCTAGCACTCTGGGAAGCTGAGGCAAGGCTGAGAAGGTAGATTGCTTGAGCTGAGGAGTTTGAGACCAGCCTGAACAAAAGCAAGACTCTGTTTCTACTCAAAATAGAAAAAAAATTGCTAGTTGTTGTGGTGGATGCCTATAATCCCAGCTACTTGGGAGGCTGAGGCAAGAAAATTGCTTGAGCCCATAAATTTAAAGTTGCTGTGATCTATGGTGCCAAGGCACTCTAGGCTGGGGCAACAGAGTGAGAATGAGGAATGAGAAACTACTTAATGGGCGCAGTGTACTCTATTTGGGTGATAGCTATACTAAAAGCCCAGACTTCACTAGTACACAATATATCCATGTAACACAACTGCACTTGTACCCTCTAAATCTATGAAAACAAACAAAAAGAAAATGTGATATATACACACTAAAATCTATGAAAACAAACAAAAAGAAAATGTGATATATACACACTAAAATCATATACACTATGATTTTTATGATTCAGTCATAAAAAGTAATGAAATTATAATCATTTTGAAAGCTTATTTCTTGATTAGTGACATAAAAATATAAATAATTGGGAAAGAAGTGTCAGATACATAATTTTAATCCTGAAGCCACAATATTATGTATATATTTCATTCTAGAATATTAGTGTGGTTTGTGGTTTTGATGTGAATAATAAACAAGTTTTTAGTAGCATTTATAAATTAATGAGAATTTCTTTCTGTGGACCAGATAGAAGAATAGAGAGCCTGGGAAAATGTTAGAAATAATTGAATAAGTAAAAAATAATGATTTTGCAGATTATACTACCATGTCTATTAAAGAAATGATTTCTCAAGGATGACAAGAAATATATTACCAACCATGAATTTTTTAACTATATGGGTATCTTTTAAACTGTTACCTTTGTATTTCTAAAGAATAAAAGATTGGTTCAAGATAAAGCCAATTTCTTTGACATTTCATCCATTCTTCAAGGGTGTAAGAGAAGAGAGCCAAGTTCTGATCCCATTCAGTCACAAGATCCTACAAGGATTAAAAACCCACAGACATATGAAATCTAAATATATGAAATTATTCTATAAGAGTCACATAACAGAAATTGAGGTCAAAGATGATTCATTGACATGCAGAAAATAATTAATAGAAGGTCATATAAAAGAATACAGCACTAAAGTATTTAGTTTGGAGAAAGGTCCTGTTCATCCAATTTTCTATTTTATTTATTATGCAATATAGGGTGGACATTGCACATGAACTTTATGTATATAAATATTTTTGTAAATGATTTAAATAACACACATATATGTAAATTAACATGAATGTTTCCCATTCAACTTCCTATTGTAGAGGAAACATAACCAAGAATTTGTTTGGTATGCATAGTATTTCAGTCTTTCTTCAAGCTTTTTTGCACATATGTACCTGTATGTAACATCTTTAATAGTTTATTACTACTAGATAGGAGAAAATATTTTCAAACTATCCATCTGACATGTGACTAATATCCAGAATACACAGGAAGTCAAACAACTCAACAGTAAAACAATAACAAAACCCCCAACAAACTCCTCCCCAAACAACAACCAGCAACATAAAAACACCCAAAAGAACAAAAACTAGAACAAATAATCCCATTAAAAAGAGGTCAAAGGACATGAAGAGGCATTTCTCAAAAAGATAAACAAATGGCCAAAAATGCTCAACATTACTTATCAGGAAAATGTAAATAAAATCTCCCAGGAGATATTATCTTATATCATCAGAATGACTATTATCAAAGAGTTGAAAAATAATAGATGTGGTAATGATGCAGAGAAAAGGAAATGCTTTAGGGGGGAATGTGTATTGTATATTAAAACATGGTAAAAAACCATGTATAAAACAGTATAAAACCATGTTATATACATTGTTTCATAACTCACATTTTTTTTTAAACTTAATACTGTCTCTTAGAGGGGTTTTGTCAGTACTTAGAAGTTTTGTTCATGATTTTAATGACTTCAGAAAATTTTACTGGATGGATATAACTTTTTCCAAGTAGGCTGTTTATTAAAATAATAGGAAATTATAGGCATGAAACTGCATATAGAAGTAACACACTGTATCCTATGAGAGAATTAATGTACACAACTATGATCTAATAAAAAAAAAAAAGAAAACCCATCAACTCCAATAAAACCTATCATTTGCTGAGCAAAAAATAGGAAATTGGTTAAAAATTAACACTATAATGCCTATTTAAAAACAAGTGGCCTGGCTCATCTTCTCTAACTATGGCTTCTCAAGAGGAAGCACATATGACTCATTTATATTTGCCTTGTTTTATTTCTATTCATGTTTCTTTCTTTTTAAATTTTATTTTACATTTCAATAGACTTATAAAGGTATAATTGATATACAAGAAACTGTACATAAAGTGGACAATTTCATAAATTTTGACATATTCTTATATGTGTGAAAGGATCACCACAATCAAGATAATAAACCTGTCCATTCCTTGTGCCCACTGTAAGCCCTTCCTCCTCCTACTACCTAGTTCTATCCCCAGGCAACCACACTGATCTACTTTCTGAAAACACAGATTAGTTTGCATTTTCTAGAATCTTATACAAATGGAATCATATGTTATTTTTTTTTTTTTTGGTTGGACTTCTTTCTCTCAGCATAATTATTTTGAAATTCATCTATGTTGTCACATAAATCAATAGTTCACTTTTGTTTGATTGCTGAGTAGTGCACATATTCCAGTGTATACACATACATGTATGATAAAAATTTTTATGATTCACCTGTTGTACATAACAGTTGTTTCCAGTTTTTTACTATTACAAACAAGGCTGTTGCTATGAATGGTCTATGTACATACCTTTGTATAGATACAGCTTTCCTTTCTCCTGGGTAAATACCTGAGAGTAGAATAGCTAGATTATATGGTAGATTTATTCTTAATACTTTAAGAAAAATTTAATTGGTTGTAACATTTTGTGTTTCTTACAGCATTGTATAAAAAAGTTCTAGTTTTTCTACATTCTTACCAACACTTGGGATGATAACTTTTAAAACTTTACTCATTTCTTAAGATATTTAGTGGTATTTCATTGCGATTTTAGCCTTTCGTAATGAGTAATGCAGTTAAGCATCTTTTCATGTGTGTTTTCTCCATCAATGTATCTACTTTGATGAAGTGCTGGTGTAAATATTTTGCCCATTTCTTTATTGGGTTGTTTTGTTTTCTTATTATTGAATTTTGAGAGCTCTTATATATTCTGGATAGTATGTCTTTTGTCAGATGTATACTTTGCAGATATTTTATCCTAGTCCATGGCTTAAATTTTTATTCCCATAACTGTGTTTTTAGAAGAGCACAAATTTTTAATTTTGATAAAATTTAATTTATAAGTTTTTCTTTTATGGATAGTGAAATCTCTTTTGTTTGTTTTTGTTTATTTATTTTTGTTAAATGATAACTGTGTACATTAATGCATTTATGGGGTACATTGTGCTGATTTTATATACAATTTGGAATGCTTATATTAAACCAGTTAACATAACCTTCACCTCACTTACTATTTGTTGTGTTAAGACATTTATACTCTACTCTTAATAGTTTTGACATGTACCCTTGCATTGTGCACAATAGGTCCCACCAAATACGCTCCCTCCTCCTGGCTTCCCCCTCCCCCTGGCTTCCCCCTCTCCTCCCCTCTCCCTCTTCTCTCCTTCGTTCTGGACTGTGGTTGTGTTTTATCATTCATATGAAAGTGTGAGTGATTATATATTGGTTTCATAATAGTATTGAATACATTGTCTACTTTTTCTTCCATTTTTTAAAACATTCCTCTTTATTTATTTCAGATTAATATGAAGGTACAAATTATTAGGTTACAATGTTTGCAGTTGTTAGATAAAGTCTCTGTTGTAGTTATGTCCTGTACTCAGGTGTGCGATATACCCTTACATTGTGCCCATTAGGTGGGAGCACATCAATCCCCCTTTGCTAAACATTTCTTTCTTTTCTTTCTTGACAAACTCCAAAAAGATATTTGTGAAGCATATGAAAGACAAAAAGCTAAAATCGTTAATATATACATGTCTATTACAAAAGACCAACAATCCAATTAAAACAGTGGCAAAGGATCAGGACAGAGGTTTTATCATGGCTTTCAAATGTATGATTAAAAAATTTTATCCTTGCATGTACTAGAAATGCAAATTAAAGTCACAATGGAATATGATATTTACTTACCAAATTGGCAAAGAACATATATTTTATTTTATATCATGCTGGAAAGTTACTTTGCTTTAGCCTTCTTGTAAAGCAATTTAGACTTATACACCATGTTTGTTTTTTTCCTCTGAATTATTTTATTAAATCATAACTGGGTACATTAATGCATTTATGGGGTACAATGTGCTGATTTTATATACAATTTGGAATACTTACATCAAACTAATTAACATAGCCTTCACCTCACTTACTTATTGTGTTAAGACATTAATACTCTACTCTTAATAGATTTAACATGTATCCTTGAAATCTACACTATAGGTGAGGTCTCACTGATAACCCTCTGTGAAACCACTTCTCCTCCCACTCCTCTTCCCTTTGACCTGGACGATAGTTCTTTTATCTTTCATATAAAAGCGTGGTGATTATATATTGGTTTCACAATAGTACTGAATACACTGGATACTTTTTCTTCCATTCTTGAGATACTTTACTAAGAAGAATATGTTCCAGCTCCATCCAGGTAAACATAAAAGATGTAAAGTCTCTATCTTTTTATGGCTGCATAATATTCCATAGTATACATATACCACAATTTGTTAATCCTTCATGAGTTGATGGGCACTTTGTCTGCTTCCAAGACTTGGAAATTGTAAATTGGGCTGCAATAAATGTTCTGGTACAAATATCTTTGTTATAAAATGATTTTTGGTCATCTGTATGTATAGCCAATAGAGGATTTCAAGTCTATTTTTAGTTCCCTAAGTGTTCTCCAAACTTCTTTCCAAAAAGAATGTATTAGCTTGCATTTCCACCAGCAGTGCAGAAGTGTTCCCTTTTCTCCACATCCATGCCAACATCTGTAGTTTGAGGATTTTGTGATGTAGGCTAATTTTACTGGAGTTAGATGATACCTCAAAGTGGTTTTGGTTTGCATTTCTCTGATGATTAAAGATCAGCATTTTTTCATGTGTTTGCAGGCCATGTGCCTATTTTCTTCAGAGAAACTTCTATTCAAGTCTCTTTCCCAAAATGAAATGGGATTATTTATTCTTTTTTTATTAACTAGTTTGAGTTCTCTGTGGATTCTAGTTATCAAACCTTTGTCAGAAACATAACCTGCAAATATCTTCTCACATTCTGAGTGCTGTCTGCTTGCTTTTCTTACTGTGTTCTGGGCTATGTAGGAGCTTTTTAGTTTGATCAGATCCCAGTAATGTTGCTTCACTTATCAGGGGGGTCATCCTCATAAAATATTCTCACAGACCAATTTATTTAAGCATTTTCCCTGCACTATCCTAGTATTTTTATAGTTTCATGTCTTAAATTTAACTCTTTCATATAGTGAGAATCAAGTTTTGTTACTGGTGAAAGGTAAAGGTCCAGTTTCAGTCTTCTACAGGTCACCAGCCAGTTCACTCAGTACCATTTGTTAAATAGAAAATCTTTCCTCCAATTAATGCTTTTGATAGGCTTATCAGAGGTCAAATGATGATAAGTGGCTGGGTTCATCTCCTGTTCTGTTCTCTGGTTCTGTTCTGTTCCATACATCTACCTCTCTATTTTGTGCCAGTACCATGCTGTTTTGATCACTATAGATTTATAGTGAAGTTTAATAGTGTGATTCCTCCTGATTTCTTTTTATCTCTGAGTAATGTCTTGGCTATTCAAGAATTTTTCTGATTCCATATAAAATGAAGTTTTTTTTTTCCCAGATCTTTAAAGTATGACGCTGGTGCTTTAATAGGGATTGCATTAAATTTGTATATTGCTTTGGGTAGTATGGACGTTTTAA